AGATCCAAAAAGCTAGATACCTCCATTTTTGAACATGTAATGTCATTACAATGTTGTGCAGCCCTACTGCAATGTTGTTGCAGACCCAGCTCAGTGGAAAGAGTTCAGCCTGTCACAGGGGACACTGACGACTTAGCAGGGACAGACTAAACAAACAATTACTGAAAGAAGGCAATTCAATTGATTGTAATGTGTGTAGGTAAATATTGGGCACCGTTGTGTGTCTAGTTAACCACAGCTTTGGCCGTTTTGCATAACAGGTAGTGTAGTGTCATTCAGGAACCTGCCTGGCTTTGTCATAGAAGTCTGGCCTTGCCATTCTAAAGTGTGTTACGTTTTGAACGGACGTGGAGACTTGAGAGGGAATGCAAAGGTGTGGGATTGTCAGAAGCAGCGTCTGCTGAGTCTGGGAAGGAGAAACCCATCTGCTGTCGATATCGATAATCGTGAACTAATTTTTTATTGAAATTTTTTTTTAACCTAGAAAATATTGTGCAGACTATTTTTTTAGATGTCATCCAGGCCTACTTCTGAGGCCGTTGTAAGACTGACTTGAGTTTTTCAGTGGGACAGTTTTGTCACAGACTTTAGTGTAATTATCCAGCATTACGCATGTTCAGTGTTGAACGCATTCAATGTTGAAACCTTCAGGTTCTCATTTGTATAAACTTATAAGGCATAAGCAAATTAATCCTGAAACTGACGTGGTTTGAGCTACAAAATCCCCAAATTAAATTTGCAGATATGAACTCATTTACTACAGTACGTGATGCCCACTAGGTTTGGAAGAGCCAAATATTTGATTTCACGGATTTTTTTTTTTTTTCTTTTTTCATGAAGCTATATCATAAAGCACCTCAGTGCCACACATTGAGTTTAATTGTCAATTTCCTGTTCCTAGTGTTTGAACTTCCCCATGCACACAGGATGTTACCAAAATAGTTTAACACAAGCTGAGTTGTTTTGTTAGTCTGCCCATATGATAGGCGAAATGCGAGTCTTTTGTTTTGTCCTGTTGCCAGTTAGGATCAGGAGTTAAATTCCAGCCTACTGGTTAATAGCTACTGTTTACCACATATGCAGAGACCACAGTTACATCGAAATTGTGCGTTAGACTCATTAATGTAACTCAGGGATTTAAAAGGGTTGTTTTCTGAAATAATAAACAGCATAATAGCATTAAAACTGGCATACAAAAACATCCAAAAGCAGATGCCCCTATCTCAAATCAAATTCTTTTCAGTCATATCTTTTTTCTAGGCTCACACATCCAACTATTACTGTTTCTCTTCCTTTGGGTCTCCTGAAAGTCCCAGCTGTTGTGGCTTTTGGTATTTCATAAGTTTCTGTAAGCAGGCCAAATGTGGACACCTTAGTCCCTGTTATGGTCGTGCTTGGTTGGTCACCTTGTCTGTTTTCATTAGTTTGGCCAGCTTTTACTGATGGTGCAACCGTGACACTGGACTTTCAACAAAAAAGGCTCTTTGTCTACTGAAACTCTTGCTGAATAGAATGTTGTTGCCGGTGTCAGTTTCACATTAATTTGGTCTACATAGTAGTATATGTTAGAAGTTTTATTGTCTTGGGCCTACCAGTAAAATCAGTGTGTTATTGCTGCTGTAACACAGTCCTTCTGCTTTCTCTCTTAAAGCTGCTGTGGTTCTCCTATTTACAGCCACAGTAGCATTTTGCTGTGCCTCAGGTTTCGCTGTGAAACTTGTAGTCGTTTGCAGAACGTTTACTCCAGGATGGATTTCACCCAACAGGATTATTGCGTTAACTGGTTTACTTGAGTAAACATCTCATGACACTAGTCAAGTCAAATTTATTTGTATAGCGCTTTTTACAGCTGATGTTGTCACAAAGCAGCTTCACAGAAATCCATTAAAGACAAAGTTTTAACATGAAATGTAAATATTCCAAGTGAGCAAGCCAGGGGCGACAGTGGCAAGGGAAAAACTCCCTCAGAGCTGAGGAAGAAACCTTGGGAGGAACCAAGGCTCACATGGGGGGACCCATCCTCCTCTGGTCAAACTACCTACAAAATTATTATACTACTAATATTAATAGTAGTAGTAGTAGTAGTAGTAGTTAGGAGTCCATGAAAACTTCAGTGTAGAGTGGGAGTGTGCAGCTAGTCCAAGTCAAGTGGCGGTAGCTGGGCAAGTGGCGGCGACTGGGGCGTGAGCAACTGGTCTGAAGCGGATAGCAGGAGAGCTCCACAGACAATCATCCATCAGTGTCTGTCCGACAGGTGGGCAGTTGTTTACTCGGAAAAAGGTAGGGAGACGGAATTAGTTTTATTTTGTTTGAGTGTATGTAAAACAGAGAATGTGAACATTTCCAGAGTGTGGCTAGTGACTCCGGTAAATCTGACTATAACAGCTTAACTAAAAGGAGAGAACCAAAAGGACACACAGACACGGGAGCACCCTGAAACAATCTGGCATCCCTCCGCTCCACCGTCCACAAACCTGAGTGATCGCGTGCGAGCGGCGGGACGACAGCACCAGCGTCTCAGTTTACTATAATTCCCTGTGTCCATGGACCCCTGGATCTGCTGCCTTTATCTAAGGGGGAACATTAACTACCAAAAGCTAAACTAAACAAGTGAGTTTTCAGCCTAGATTTGAAGATTGCGACTGAGTCTGAGTCCCGAACATTTTCTGGAAGATCATTCCAGAGTTTGGGGGCTTTATAAGAAAAGTCTCTTCCCCCAGATGAAACCTTCTGAATTTTGGGAACTATTAAAAAGCCAGCACTCTGTGATCTGAGTAATCGTGGTGGCTCGTAATGGGAAATAAGGTCTTGCAGGTACTCAGGAGCGAGCCCATGTAGGGCTTTATACGTCAATAAAAGAATTTTGTAATCAATACGGAATTTAACAGGCAGCCAATGGAGTGATGATAGAACTGGACTGATATGATCAAATTTTCTAGTTTTAGTGAGAACCCTGGCTGCAGCAATTTGAACTAGTTGAAGTTTACTTAAATTCCTGCTGGTGCATCCTGATAGTAGTGCGTTACAATAGTCTAGCCTTGAAGTAATAAAGGCATGTACTAATGTTTCTGCATCGTGCAGCGATAAGGCATTTCTTATTTTGGCGATGTTGCGAAGATGTGAAAAAGCTGTCCTAGTGATACTGCCTATGTGTTGATCAAATGATAAATCTGGATCAATTATGATGCCAAGATTTTTTGCTGCTGAACCAGGTATAACTGGAAAGTCAGCAAGATTTAAAATTAAATCTGGTAATTTATTTCTTGCCACTTTTGGACCCAGAAGGAGAACCTCTGTTTTGTTACTGTTTAGAAGGAGGAAGTTACGTAACATCCAACCTTTCACATCTTTTACACAGTCCTCTATTTTCTTTAACCTGTATTTGTCATCAGGCTTGGCTGATATGTACAATTGCGTATCGTCTGCGTAACAGTGAAAGTTAATGTCATGGCTACTTATAACTGTGCCTAACGGTAACATGTATAATGTAAATAATAATGGTTCTAAAATAGAGCCTTGCGGAATTCCAAATCTTACTTGTGAATAACTGGAAGATGAATCATTTACCTTTACGAACTGATAACGTTCCGTTAAGTAAGATTTGAACCACGATAGGGCTGTCCCTGTGATTCCAACCATGTTTTCTAACCTTTCTAGGAGAATATTGTGGTCTATCGTATCGAAAGCTGCGCTGAGGTCAAGTAGTACCAACAGGGATACGTAGCCTTGATCAGAGGCATGAAGAAGATCATTTGTTATCTTAACTAGAGCTGTCTCAGTGCTGTGATGTGGCCTGAATCCAGATTGGAATTTTTCATATATGTGGTTCTTATCTAGATATGAACTAAGTTGTTGGGCTACAGCTTTTTCTAAGATCTTAGATATAGCTGGTAGGTTAGAAATAGGCCTGTAATTAGGCAATACGCTAGCGTCAAGGTTTGGTTTCTTGATCAGAGGCTTAATAACTGCTAGTTTAAAAGCTCTGGGTACATGGCCCAGGCTAAGGGACGAGTTTACTATAGTTAAAAGAGGATTAATGATAACTGGTAGCACTTCTTTGAGTAATTTTGAGGGGATTGCATCAAGTGTGCAGGTTGTACAATTTGCAGAGTAGATAATCTTCTCTAGTTATAACTGTGGTAGTGGGTAGAAAGTTTCCAGCCTTTCCTCTGCAACTACGTTATGTTTTATATCAGCCACATCAGATGACAGCCAAGTTGGATTTAATACTGTGGGTTGAGTTTGTTGTGTAACATTTTCAATTTTATTATTAAAAAAGTCCATAAAAACATCACTGGTGAGAGTCGCCGGAATTTGTGGTTCAGTGCCTGCCTGATTTTTTTGTAGTTCTGGAAATCACGCTAAACAGTCCTCTAGGATTATATTTATTATTTTCGATCAGCGAGGCCAGATATGCTGAGCGAGCTTTAGTGAGAGCATTTCTATACTCTATAAGGCTTTCCTTCCAGGCAAAGTGGAACACTTCTTGCTTGGTTGATCGCCATTTCCGCTCTAGTTTCCGTACTGTTTGTTTTAAGGTACGGGTTTTATCATCGTACCATGGGGCAAGCTTTTTCTGTCTTTTTCTGACACTACCCTTTCCTCTGTCAACTTTCCTTATTACTTCAAGCATATGGTTATACTGTTCCTCTAAACCATTTAGACTTGTTCACAGCCCCATATTAACTGTACTGTTAATGGTTAAATATGGGATTTTCAAAGCCTTATTGATAAACTCCTCATTAGTGGTAATTTATTTCAAGACAAAGCTTAGGCTAAAAATGATCTCTTAAAATTATGCTAAAAATTGAGTATCCCAAATAAAACTTAAGCATGGTCTGATACTAAAAAAACTTTTTGAAGTTAATCATAACTTAGTCACTACTATTTAGTCCAGGTAACCTTTGTTTTGGCATGATTCACTTAGTGTTGGACCGCCTTCACTGTAAACCTGTTCAAACACCTGTATGAATTTATGTGTTCTTCTCCTCTCTCCCTAGGCTACATCCTCAGCCTGGTGCTGCTGACGTTGCCACGGCAGCACCTGGTGCGCCTTTATCTATATGTACTTACAGCTCTGCTGCTCTTCGCTGGACACCAGCTCTCCAGGTCTGTCCATGGGCCAATAGACCTCAAACACACCCTCACTCACATGCATTTCTATAGTTGTGCATGTACAGTAAGTAGAGATGCAACAATACTACTTTTTCCTTTCTGATACCGATAGCGATACCTGATCCTTTGGTATCAGCCGAGTACTGATACCAATGCTAACACTATCTGCTTGAACACACGTAGTCCTGATATTTATCCGATTGTTATCAGCTATAGGTATCGATATCCCTATCACCGATACCATGTTTAAGTGCCAGTATCGGTGCAGATACCGATGCAGTTTCGGTATCTGTGCAACACTAACAATAAGGAATAAAAAAGCAAAAGTATTTTGCACCCATGTAACCAAACAAATACAAAGTTGGTTTACATATCTGGATTTTTAAACAACACCTACGTACCCTGTTACTAGTGGTGGAATAAACTTGTCCATCCAGGATTAGTTTCTGCACATCAGGCTGAATGTTTCTGTTTTCTCTTTCAGGGATTATGTTCGTAGCGAGCTGGACTCTGGCTATGAAGGACCTCTTTACCTGGACCCGCTCTCCATGAATCGCTTTACTACAGCCCTCATCGGTAAGCACTGGCTTCTTCTTTGTACGACAAAGTCTAGATTGTATTTTCACCGAGGCTCCTAATAAACCAAACAGTTCTGCTTTACTGTCTTCAAATGTCTCATCGGTTTTGTCAAAAATGCCTTTGTTGTGCTCTCGGTTAATCAGTGAACTTCAGGTGTTCTGTAGAGACCATTTTCCAGGGATGGGTTTCAAATGACTGAAGTTTAGTTCCCACCCCTGGCTGAAAAGAGGGTTAACTGCGGAAATGACACCAAAAACCAGAAAGGAAAAGAACTAGATATCAGTTGGCTTATATTCACTCTGAATAGAGGGCCCGTGAACAAAGCCCTGTGAGTGTAATGAGCTGTCTGGGAGTAAGGTGCAATTCTCCCATCAGCTTTCATGGGAAAGTATGTCAGAATATGCTAGTAATGTCAACTAAATGGTTGTTTAGGTCTGTAGGCTGAGTAGAGTCACGTTTGCTGTTCGTAATTAGTTTAGTGAAACAGCTCCGGTTGTAATCTAAGCAGCAGGATGTGTGTTTGGGTCAGAGAGTACATGCTTATAAAAGCAAATGAATGCATTTAAGAAGTGTAAGAATGTGCTACTGCTGTGATCTTAACTTACTTGCTGTGGGATTAGGAGAAGTACTGCAGTACTGTTTTAGTGACAGGATTGAGGTGTGCAGCTCAACTTTCCCAGCACCAAATATCAGTTTATCTTCAAAATGGTATAGGTTTTGCCAGCGTGCTGAACAATGATTGTCGAAGTTTATTGGGGTTCACAGTTATTCCAGAGAGTTACATATAAATCAGAATAATTAGAGTGGTTTTTGTTTGTCGGCTGGAAAGCTTTAAATCCGCTGTCTCAGCAGAAGTGATACAGACTGACCATGTTTTACATATTTCATCACTGTCAGCATTAGCTCATGGCAACATCTGTTGTAATATTGCACACTTTCATGAAGAAGTACATAGCTGTTGACAAAACCAAGAGGTTTCTTTTCTGATGAGGACAATCAATGGAAAATATTTTGACATTTCTTGACATGGCATGCAAGCTGCCAGGTCATGTATGTGTTATATGTCTGTCTTGCCTGTGAAAAGATGTATTACGTCAGTCATATTAAATGTAAATATGTGAACGCCATTAATTTATCTAATTCCCAGTTAAATCAGCCATTATGTACAAGTCATTTTCAGGCAATATTTCTGAGATAAGATTTAAGATAATCCACTTCCATAAGGAAGGAGAAAAGAAGGAAAATGAGTAAAAAAAAATTTTTTTTTTTTTTTAAACCTCAACATCATTAAATGTGTTTGGGATTACTTAGATTGTGAGAAGCCGAAAAAGACTGAACTTTGGAGGAAATATCACCACAGAGTTCTGTAGTAAAGGCAAAGTTTTTATATGTTTAGTTGTTGAGCCATCTTTGTCATTTAAATACTGTTAAATGACTAAATATTTTTGCTTTTTTGCTGATGCTGGAAAATGAGTAACTTGTACTTAATGGCTGTTTTGACTGGAAATTAAATAAATGCAGGATGGTCTGACGTACACATTACTGTATGTTATGAATGGTAGGTTAAGGCAGTGTTAACTCTTTAATTAAAGCCAGGGTGGGTAAGTGAGGGCCAGAGTCGGCACAGTTTTTATTTATTTATTTATTTATTTTTTCATTTATTATCTGCTCTAGCACACCTACCTAACCTTGTAATAAACCTATGAGTGGAAATAGGGGTGGTTGAGCAGGAAATTCACCAAACTGTGCAGGAATCTGGCCCTCCATTTCTCACCCCTGCTTCTTTTAAAAGCAGTGTAGGTTGTTCTTTTTTTTATTTATGTATGGTCAGCAATAATCATCATGTGTAACAGAACCAGAGACCCCCACCCCTTAATTAGAGTTTCAAAATGTATGGGAATATCTGGGAATATCATCCAGCAGCTTTTTGTAGCTCATTCTGGACGAAGTCAGTGGAGAATAGTAAAAAGCATAAATATGTTCATGCGTGTCTTCATTCTCACAGTCCCTCTCTATTTTAGCTTATAAGGGCATCATGCTCCTCATTGGTGTGGGATATTAAAAATAAATAAATAAATGAACATTTCTCTCTACAACTAGTTCAAAATGCGGCAGCATGGATTCTAACCAAAACAAAAAAGAAAACTCCCATTTTGAAAGAACTGCACTCGCTAGCTGTATTTTTCAAGATGGACTTCAAAGTTCTGCAAATTTTTTTAGGCTCTAAATGACCTAGCACCCACTCACATCACAGAATGTTAGTCTCTTCTAGCACGTGATCTTAATCTGCAGATACTGTCCTTCAGATACTTTCCATAAAGTGCAGAAAACGTGGAGAGGCCTCTTTCAGTTATTATGCTTCTAAACTGTGGAGCTCCATTAGACAGTCAAACTCAGTGCTCACTTTTAAGAAATATTCAAAAACTTATCCCTTTAAATTATCGTTTAATTAAAATTCATGTCTTTTAGTGTTTGTTTTAATTTGATCTGTCATTATAATTTCTGGCATGACAAGTCTATATAAATAAAAATTGATGACGATTAGTGTTGTTGTTGTTGTTGTTGTTGTTGTTATTGTTGTTATTATTATTATTATTATTATTAAAAATATGTTTCCAGTGTTACAGGCCTATGTATGTGTTTTTTTGTTTTGTTTTTTTTGCCCCCCCCCAGGACATCCAATTTAACTCCCCAAAATTACCCCAAGTTGGAGTTGCTCTGGATTACGGAATGGTTCTGGGGGTTTGTTATGGAACTATTTGGTCATTGTTTATGTCCTCTCTTCAGGTCAGCTAGTGGTGTGTACGCTGTGCTCGTGTGTGATGCAGACCAAGCAGATTTGGCTGTTCTCTGCTCACCTGCTCCCCCTAGTGGCCAGGCTGTGCCTAGTCCCCTTGGAGACCATAGTCTTTATCAACCGTTTTGCCATGATCTTCACTGGTCTAGAAGTGCTCTACTTCCTGGCCTCTAACTTGCTGGTGCCATACAACCTGGCCAAGACAGCCTACAGAGAGCTAGCACAGGTACTAATAAGTGCATTCTACACTAGATAAACTCCTAATAGTCTGCTTCTTGTCTGTCCACTTGTGATTAAGAACATTGAAATCATATTACATTCATTACAGTATTTTTTAAAAAATTGTACATAAATATGTTGTACAATATATAGTACATTGTGGTTCTGTTGAAAGCAGCCCTTGTTTCTCAAGATGTTTCAGTCTTTACAGTCTTTTTTACAGTCACTTCTGTAGTTGAGAATTTGTTTGTTGATCACTCATAAGACAACACTCATCACAGTGCGAAGTCATGGAACTGTCAAAGTCTGAGACGCAAGCTAAATACCAATACTAGTCAATCACTTTCTTGTTTTGTTTGCTTCATGTTCTCTCCCTTCCACCTTTCACTCTCACCCTGTATCCAGGTTGTGGAGGTGTATGGGCTTTTGGCTCTGGGCATGTCTCTGTGGAATCAGCTGGTTTTGCCTGTGCTCTTCATGTGTTTCTGGCTGGTGCTGTTCACCCTGCAGATCTACACCTACTTCAGCACACGAGACCAGCCGCCTTCACGCGAGAGACTGCTTTTCCTTTTCCTCACCAGGTCTGAAGGCATTCAAACCAACCCTGTACTTACTTTTCAGATCCCACAGAAGGAGCATTTAGGTTGCGTTCAGACAGTGGTGCATGTTGCGCGAAAAAAGATTGCATCTGAACCGTGAGGAATCCACCTGTGACAAGTTTTACAAAGCAGAGAAGGTGTGGAGCAGATCTTTATGTGCAGGAAGTTTGACGCCACGTCACTCTAAATAGCATCTACTGTGCAAGACGTGGAGAAGAAGTCCATCAGGTGTAATTTTCCTATTCAACCCATGTGAAATATACCAACGCAAATGCCTTGAATGCTGCAACCAGCGTGCAAAGTAACACTAAGTAAAGTACTCTCCGAACTACAGCGGTAGGGGTGCTTCTTGTCTATTTCTTTAGGTCTTGTGAGACTTCAGTGATGGTGAATTAATAATTATGTTTGTGCTGAATATTTTTTAAATGACAACTGTGAGCAAAACTGTCATACTGAACAGCCCTGTTTGTGCTCTCCAGTTAACTTTTATCTGGCTTCTTTTTTGCAAAAAAATAAATAAATAAAAGCAGAACAAAATGCATTTTGAGCAGAATACACACTGCTGTCTGAACGCGGGCTTATACATCGGTTCCTATTGAAGGACCTCATGAAATATTTCTAGAAATATTTCTTCATGTGTGGCATGCCTAAAAGTTGTAGATGTTTATGAAAGCTTATGTGGAAAACCACAGGATGTGTGGCATTCATACACATGCAGTGAGGTTTTAGAGAGTTTGTTTGAGTATTCTGGGATGTAAATGAGTAATGATGCCCTAATCTGCCTTGGTCAGCATCAGCACTGAACAGGCCTTATTAAAGAGGTCAGGTAATAGACAAGACCGATCTACATTAAATGTTGGTTATTAGTTATGGTCATTATAAAATTGTAACGGCACTATTTTGTAAACCTAAAAGATCTGCACATTCCTGAAAGGTTGGTGTATGGCAGCTTCCGTTATGGTATCTTGCCCTTTAAAAGAATATTTCTGTGTTTGCAGCATTGCAGAGTGCTGTTGTACTCCGTACTCTCTGTTGGGGCTGGTCTTCACTGTTTCCTTTGTGGCGCTGGGTGTCCTCACCCTCTGCAAATTTTACCTGCAAGGCTACCGAGCCTTCATGAATGACAATGCCATGCACAGGTAAGCCTGCCCACCCTCTGCTAAAGAAGCCTTAGTATCTAGTGCCATCAGACCAGTATGATTATGATACCGATGTCTAATTGTGTACAAGTATGAAGGCAAGCAGTTGATGTAAAGCGTTAAACAACATTGTTAGGTATCATGTTATATATTTGCTGTCTGTCTTTCTTTCTTTCTCTCTTTCTTTCTTTCTTTCTCTCTTTCTCTCTCTCTCTCAGGGGGATGACAGAGGGCATTACTCTGCTGATTCTGTCCGTTCAGACTGGGCTGATTGAGCTCCAGGTCATCCACCGGGCCTTCCTTCTCAGCATCATCCTGTTTATCGTGGTGGCCTCTATTTTGCAGTCCATGCTGGAGATTGCTGACCCCATAGTGCTGGCGCTTGGGGCCTCCAGGGACAAGTGTGTATCTCCTCCTACGCTATCTCCACTCATCTCACACATAAGCACACAAACACCTCAGAAAGGCTGCCAGTAATGAGCGTGTTGCTGACCATCATTCCACTGTCCATAATGCTTTATAGTTTTTCATAATTTTATGTTTTTCCCACCTCTCACTCACTCACTCACTCACTCACTCTTTCACTCTTTCTCTCACTCTTTCTCTCACTCTTCCTCTCACTCTTCCTCTCACTCTTCCTCTCACTCTTCCTCTCACTCTTCCTCTTCCTCTCTTCTGTCTGTCTCTGTTTTTAGGAGCCTGTGGAAGCACTTCCGAGCAGTCAGCCTGTGCCTGTTCCTTCTGGTTTTCCCTGCCTACATGTCCTACATGATCTGCCAGTTCTTCCACATGGACTTCTGGCTGCTCATCATTATCTCATCCAGCATTCTAACCTCACTGCAGGTACTCATGCACATTACCTCCTTACAGAAATACTGGGATAGAAACAGTCATTACTGGCATGGGAAGAACAGAAACAGTTCTTTAGTTAAATTTCTTTACTTCATTACTATCTGTGCTCAGTTATTTGCAATTATTTAGTTACTAACACAATTTTTTTTGGCACTTGTTAGCTATATTGCCAGAATGTGCTGTGTTAAAGATACTGCAGAATGAATCTCTATATACACACCCTTCTCTAAACCCCTGCACTTTCTTACAGGTCCTGGGCACACTGTTGATTTATGTGCTTTTTATGGTGGAGGAGTTGCGGAAGGCTCCTGTGGAGAATATGGATGAAGTGATATATTATGTCAATGGAACCTACCGACTGCTAGAGTTCCTGGTGGCATTGTGTGTGGTGGCCTATGGTGTGTCGGAGACGCTCTTTGGCGAGTGGACTGTGATGGGCTCCACTATAATTCTGGTGCACGCCTACTATAACGTGTGGCTGCGGGCACAGCTGGGCTGGCAGAGCTTTCTCCTTCGTCGAGACGCTGTGCACAAGATCCAGAGCATGCCCACGGCCTCGGCCCTGCAGCTCCAGCAGCACAATGACATCTGTTCCATCTGCTATCAGGTGTGTTTGTGTGTGAGAGAGAAAGAGAGAGATGGGAAGAAAGTGTGAAAAGGTGTGAAAGTTGTTGCAGGTTTGTCAGCAGTAGGGCTGCAACGATTAGTTGACAGGGTCAACTAGAATTTATTTGATTGTTTAAGCATCGTTCACTTAAAAAAAAAAACACTGTATATGCATGTTAAACAGATTTTGATACACTCTATGCACAAATGTTTCATCGCATCATTAGAAGAAATCGTGTGTGGCACAGACAGAACTCCCGATGCCAAAGGGAAATAAACTCAAGAATGCAGGACTCACAAAAGTCACAGCGTTTTCAATGCATGATAAGTTTCACAGCAGCACGGCAACATTGCACAAATATGACAAAATCAAAGCACCCAAGTTTGAACTCTTTTCTGTTACTGCTGGTAGTGTATTTATGTGCAGTTTAAAGTTAAAGTGGCTAATGTCATGGTGCACTTTGGAAAGCAGAATGTCTCATGGAAGAGATGAATGTTGTTAAATATAGTGTAGTAAACATAATCCCATACTGAGGTAGCCGTTCAGTAATGAAATGGTAAGTTTCCAGACCAACACTACCCAGGGCAGTGTAAAAATTGTTAGACACAAAGGTGGAAAGTAAAGAATTACATTTACTCTTGTTACTGTACTTGAGTACCTTTTTTCCTGTAACAAAAAAAAACAAATTGGGGCATTTCCCAGCTGCAGCAACACTGCAGATGAGTTCAGAGATGTTTTCAGGAGAAAAAAAGAGGACCGCTTTACCAGCACACAGGACCATACTTTATCCAAACGGTCATCTTCATTCGTTTTCAAATGAACTAAAGTAAACTGTGTTAATATCAACTGCTAAACCTGCTGAGATCTCTGCTTTCCTTAACTTAGCTTTAGCCTGAGGGAGCAGCTGCCTGGCTAGCTAATCCTAGCTAAACTGTGTACCATTTTACTATTTTCTTCTTACATTGCTTTTGTAGAATAAAATGGGCAGCTATTTATTACACTTAAAATAAACTCTGTACAATAATTCCATTGCAAATAGATTTGTTTTTCACTTTTTTTTTTTTATTTATTTATTTATTTTTTTTAAAACTCTAGTGATGGCCTGGTTTCTCTGAAAGCTCATTTTTAATGTGAACTACCTCATTGGAAACAGATAAAGTAGGACATGTTATATAACAATCATGAAATGTATGTGGTAAATATAAAAAAAATAATAAAGCAAACCTTCCTTACACTGTGCACAGAAAAATATGTAAATGTATACTAGCAGGGCATACTGAGAACAGTCTCAGCACTCAAATATCTTTCTTTTTTAATATGTTTTGCTTTAGTTTTGTCTCCACAGATTATTTCTAATACTACCTTTGCAAAGTTAACCTCAATATTTTAGTCTGGTTGTTGATATACAAAAAAACTCAATTACTCAATTATTTCCAGTAAACTACTTATTTATTCTTACTTGAGTAATTTCCTTTAATACTTCTCTTGTACTGAAGTAAATTATCACTGCAGTAACAATACTTTCAGTACTCTTTCTACCTCTGATTAGATACATTAAAAATAGCCACTAAGTGATAAATGAAGAAAGTAATATGACGGTATTTTTCATTTTTTTTTTTTTTTTACCAGCCTTAACTACCTACTTTTGATTCCACAACCATTTTATCTGAGAAATTAATGTAAGAGTAATGTAGACAAAAGCAGTTTAATATTTTGATGATGAATTTTCAAATTCAGGTGCCAGTATTTAAATGTATTTCTCACTGAAACAGCAACATAATCGGTTGATCATTTAATTAAAAAAATAATCGATAAATTAACAGATTATAGAAATAATTGTTGGTTTAAGCCCTAGTTGACAGCAGTTTTTTCTGCAGTGCTCATTAGTCGACTGTGTTTTCCTTAAGTACTATGTAATTCAGTTTGGTCAAGCTTTAGTTAGGAGAAATTTCTCATCTTAGTTTTTTTTCTACAAATTCAGTTCATCATGCATCTCCTTCCATGTCTTCAGCACTTAATTCCATTATTCTCCGTGTTCCTCTTGTATCTGTGTCTAGGACATGAAGTCAGCAGTCATTACACCCTGTGGTCACTTCTTCCACGCTGGCTGCCTGAAGAAGTGGCTGTATGTACAAGAGACCTGCCCGCTCTGCCACGGTCAGTTAAAAAGCCAGTCGCAGTCTGCTAACACTAGTGCTCCTCTGGCCACGGATGCCCCACCAGCTAATCAGAACGCCCAGGAGACAGAACAGGAACAATTGCTGGGTGAGTCTGCAGTAGAGGAGGGCTTTCAAGCTGAAAAGACTTCCTCGGATTTTGAAGCCCAGTTAAGTCTTCAGAATTCAGATGAGCCAGAGCTCGAAGGGCAGTCGTTGGAGAAGTTCCAAGAAGATTCAGAAAAATGTGATTTACTAGTGGATAAAGAAAGCGATGAAGGCCAGACTGAAGACCTGGATGGTGAACAAGCTGCACACTCCAGTTCAAGTGTCCCTCCTTCCTCTTAAGTAGAGCTGTGCTAACACTGAAATGCTGCCAATGTTAAGGAATCCTCATTGGAGGTCAATGGTTGAATTTGAACACGAACTGTTTTCATCTTGATCATATTACATACCCGCATTGTAGCTGTTGTAGAGCCATCCACAGATTTATCTTGGGGTGCTGGAGAGTTCTTTATATAGGGAGTGGGATTATATCATAACTGCAAAATCTTGACTTTTTTTAAACCATCTCTTTTTACCTTAACTGAGCTTTAATACCATCTCGTGGTGATTTATGTATGATTTTTTTGGAGGGTTTGCCATAATTTCTGTAAAGTTGAAATAGTCCCTGATTTTCCAGTGCACTATAAATGAGCCACATTCATTTCTTAAACTCTCTTAAATGAAGTTGACAATGGTTACATTTAAAGGTACATTAATTAGGATTTTCTTGTGATTTTCATGTTTCTTTAGGCAATTGTAACACCTCCTGGTGCAAGCATTTCATAACACTCAGTATTCAAGATTTGTTGTAATAGTTTCTATAGTGGCTTTTTAGTAGTTCTGAGCTAATCTGATAATTTGTCACACCAAAGTGAGGCAAATGTGCCCCCTCCATTCTTCGAAACAGCATTTGCGCCAAACAATTAGGAATGATTATGCAGAATTCATGCACATGATTTAACAGTGGAGAGAATTATAAAATCTTGGAAAAATCTTCATTAGTGCTCCTCAGCTTCTTAAATGTTTACTGCAAGGAGCTGCTTTACAGCTTTTGTTATCTATGTCAAGGGTGTCTGGTCCTGGAGCTCTACCACCAGGTAAAATTCTCATTCAGCATACCTGGCTCTCATGTTGAGATGCCCCTACAGGCCTTGATTGCCTAGATCAGGTGTGCTGGGTTTGGTTTGGAGCTAAACACTGCTGTGTGGTAGATCACCAGGTCCAGGTTTAGGCATGTCTGCCTATGTAAAGGGATATGTTGTTGCTGACAAAACCTTATATCTCCATAAATACTAACTGTACAGGAGAAGTAAAAACCTTCTTATCTTTTACTTAAAGATAATGGAATAAAATTGGTTTTCAAGTAATTTTCAATAATTTCTGTCGGTCCATTCGTAATACAATTTTTGCAGTGTAAAGAGGAGCTAACTTTTTCAAATTCTGCCAAAAATATGAAAAGAATTAGACATGTAAGGTTTTGTTCTGACAGTGAAAACATGTGCTGTATTTTCAGCTGTTTTATCATGTGTATGCCAGAGTTATTTATTACAGTGAGGTGGGAAATATTTTTCCAGATCTTACTCAGTGGAGCATATATTTTTTTGAATTATCAAGATGAGTCAACTGGAGAGGCTAAACTGAATTTGATTCAGGCAGTCTCCTCAGTTCTTTTCCCCTGTCTTATACTTTTTTTTTCCCCCTTGTTTCATTATTTAAAAGGCTGGAAGAGAGAATCTGCTGTCTTTGAAATGGTAAATATGCATTAATAATAGACAATCAGTTAAAATAAAAACAGATGGAAAATCACATTTTCCTCCTGAAGATGTCCTAAAGACCAGTTACATCATTTCAGTCCACTCCACAATTTGTGTCCATATTTCAAGTAACAAAAAAGGACAAGTCATCATAGATATTTGAACCGTACTTCAAACTGTTTTTTGTTGTAATATTTCACTATTTGAGACTGAAGATGATGCTATATGGCATTTGAATCCCATTGTAAGAACTTCAAGTAAGAACTTTGTGTCACCTGATGTCATGCCATTCTGCTTTTGCACAGTCATTTAAAGCAATGCTGCAAAGTCATTTTTTCCTATCCAGCACGAAATCCTTGTTGGTGCATATGAGGTACAAGAACCCTATATAAGTGTAAGTGTGTGTGTGTGTGTGTGTGTGTGTGTGTGTGTATGTATATATATATATATATATATATACATACACACACACACACACACATACGTTGCTATCTATATTCCCTAACAGGAGTTTTGATATGCCAAACAGTGTTTAAGCAGTATCAACCGTAATGATGTGGCCTTTGGGCTTGCAGGAACACTTTGGTGCCCTCTATAGGTAGAAGTGGGATTGAGCCTAAAAGTACTGAATTGAGTTGTACTGCTCTGTTTGAGGCTTGTTGCTTTGACAGTATTAAGTGAAGTATTTTGACTTGGCAAGTTTGTGTAGATGAATACGTATACTAAGGTATGACTAAACATAAACGCCAGTTACATTGAATTGTTAGTGATGTCTTAGTTTTGCACATTTCTTGAAGGAAAATATGTTGGTAGCATTTGAGATGTTTTGTTTCTTTTCTTTTAAGAATACTTCCAGGCAGAATTCTTCCAGCAGTCCAAAGCAGCCAAACTCGTATTGGAAATTTGGGCAGTTTCGTTTTGGTTTTTGTTTTTTTGTTTTTTTTTACAAACTAAATTACATGTTTACCTATGTTCTCTAATTAGGCTGTGTAAAGTAGTAGACTTGGACTACAGAGCATTTTTTTTCTTTTTTTTTTCATGAGACATGTAATCCATTTTACAATGCTGAATGTCAAAAATAAATTGTTTTTTGCTTAATCAGGGGTCGAGTCTGAGACATTTGTATGTTTATACCTTTTGATCACCATGAGGTATGAAATATAGATAGCGAATCTTCATTTACATATTACATTTTGCTTTTTTTAAGGAATACACACACCATCTGTATTTTCAGAGAGTGTCTCAATCCATTTTGATGGATTAAATTAAACAGTAATGAATATCAAAGGTATCCAAAAAGTTTTCCACCTTTGTGCAGTTGACAGTACTGAAATAATGGTGAGTAACTGGCAGTTTGTTAAACTATTGGTATTTTACTGACCTTTCAAAGTTTGTGCCCAATTAAATGCTCAACATGTAAAGTCGTTCGAAGATGCTCTAGAGAAACTGTTTAGAGCAATGATGATGGGAACCAGAAGTTTTAATTGTTTACTCTAAAAGCTACATCACAGGAAGTGGTTACATGAAATGTTACAAATAATTTGCCTGATGCCTGGAAACATTGTGTTATGATAGTTGTAAGACACACTTGTGGCCTGAAATGTATTTTTAAACCCAGTCGTGGTGGAGAGGTACATGCAAGGTGTTACAAAGTGAAATAGTACTTAAAGAAACTCAGCAAGTACTGTAGGTTCACTGGTCATTTTGGACAGTAAATAAAATGACTATTTAGGTAGTAGTGTCATGATCCCTGGTTCCTCATCTCCATTGTAAAGAGATCCAAGTCTGTAAATTTCTGTACAGTGAGCCATTTCACATTAAACTGTTCTGAATGACTGTTTATGTCCCAACAATTGCATTAAACAGAACTGTGAAATTTAAGAGTTTAAATATTAAGTGAAGACCGTTGATCAGACCTGGTTTATGGCACATTTATTTAGTCTTCATAGTGACTATATTTGGTCATGTTATGTTACATTTAAGCTATATTGAAGCCGTCTTATGTGTCACTTTGTAGATTATTACAATTTACCACATTTTGAGCTAGTATTTGAACCTTTCTCCAAAGCAGTAACATAAGCAAAGGTTTTTCCTGTATTTCACAGCTTTGAAACTTTGTACTGCATATACAGAAGGTTTATAATAGGCCATGAGATAATACGGGGCATGTTAAGAAACTTTTCCAGTTTCAGCTAGTGCAGTAGTATATTTGTTCTTAACTAAAATGATGTAGTGTAAATAGGCTAATTAGGTTTAAAGTAAGTCATTTTAGTGGGAAAATTGAATAAAATAATAGCTTTGTCAAGGCCCACACAGTACGAATTCCATATGATCGGAATCCAGAGGCCCGAGCCTCTTAGGGCCACATCATAAACCTAAAATCAGAGAGTATCTCTTTAAATCTTTCAGATATGATGTTTGCTTGCATGGTTTAACCACTTGCTGGTTAACAAAGGGAAGTCAAATAGTTGGATATTTCTGCCTGAATCCTCTAAACTAGCCATTTAGAGAACATATCGTCTATTGCTACACTGATGATACGTTATATCGTCCCTTGAAACCTGGCGATTACTGCTCTTTAAAGAAGCTTCTTCTGGTAATAAGTTTCATAAAAAGTTCACACTCTCAACATTATTTTGCCCCTCATTGCCTTCTGCAGTCTGCTGCTTCTCCCATATTCCCACTTACATCTCATGAACTAAGCAAAAAAATCTATAACATCCCAATAACAAAATCTTGCAAATTTGATTACAACTGGGTAGTTATTTTCAATTAATGACATTTATGTAATTTGCCTCAGAATGCAGGCATGAGTCCAGTGCTAAGCTTATCACTCATGAGGTTCCATTGTTTAGTATTGCTGAGATCAATAACGGATCATCACATTGATTTATCAGTCAACTCGGGCTTTAGTAGAGCTTGGTGACACTGAGATTAATAACTGATCATCACACTGATTTTTCAGTCAACTTCAGCTTCAGCAGAGCTCAGTAACACTGAGGTTAGTAACTGATCACATTGATTTATCAGTCTACTCAGGCTTTAGCAGAAGGTTCAGTGTTTATAAAGAAAACTGAGTTGTTCTTTAGAATCTATCTTTACATGCTTTACATGAAATATTCTAACCTAGCACGTATTTAACCTATAGGTAGCTCCTTACATAAAACTGTAGGTAGGATATTTATATATAGGATATAAATTACTGTGTCAGAAAATGCTACCAGCTTTGAAATGTACAGGCAGGATAGTTTGATAGCCTAAGTCTCCATATCAGAAAATGTTACCAGCATTAAAAAACTAATGATATTTTGATTACTTGTGATAATTTTTTAGTTTTCTATAAAATATTCTGATAAGGGGTAAGTAATATTGAGCTGAGTCTATACTGAATTAACATTAACAACCCACTCAATCCACATATGGCACTTAGATCATTAAGGTCTTCTGACCAGCTTTGGCTGTTCCTTGGTCTCAGTTACAGCGAAAAGGCACTTTTTTTAGTCCTAAAACATTTTTTCCAGGGTGCCATCGGGCAAGTTAGGACCCCTACTAATGAATCAGCCCTGTGTCCCCATCCCCATGCCCCACCATTTAACTAGCTCTGTCTCTTCATCCCCACACCCCACCAATTAACTACCCTGTCTCTTCATCCCCATACCCCACCAATGAACCAGCCCTGTCTCTTCATCCCAATACCCCACCAATGAACCAGCCCTGTCTCTTCATTCCCATACCCCACCAATTAACTAGCCCTGTCTCTTCATCCCCATACCCCACCAATTAACTAGCCCTGTCTCTTCATCCCAATACCCCACCAATGAACCAGCCCTGTCTCTTCATCCCCATACCCCACCAATTAACTAGCCTTGTCTCTTTATGCCAACACCCCACCAATTAACCAGCCCTGTCCCTCCTTCCCCACACCCCACCAATGAATCAACCAGATCACCCCATCCCTATACCGCTAACAATGAATCAGCACTATCAACCCATCCCTATACCACTACCAGTGGATCAGCCCCATCACCCCTTCCCCATACCAAATCTATCAGAATGTTGCATGCATGTCACAGTGTTATATTTTCAGGGTTGGCATGGCCTGTGGTGGTGGGGTGGTGTGGCCCAATGTGATATCTTTTCATCAGGCTCAAAATCCTTAGTGGTGCCCCTGCATATGTTTATTCATTGGCAACATTGAAACACCAGAATTCGTTGGTAAGTCAACTTATGTATTTTTATAATAAGTAATTATTTGTGTATGTGTCGTTTCAAGGTTGAAAAGCACTTTGACTCAACACTGGTTGCTGCTAAATGCTATATCATTAAAATTTACTTACTACAGAACCCCCCACCCCCCCACCACAAACTCCAGTCTGTGCACAAGATTGTTTTACAGGCAGCTGTTTTAACAGCTCCTGCATGACCTCCCCCAAAAACTTTTACTGTTTTTCTTCGCTTTTTTGCCCTGCAGTCACATTTATCCCACATAAAGACCGCGTTACTGTTCTTAAACGGGCAAGTTGAACGGGTGTCATTTGAAGTTCAGACACACGATGGCGGTGTTGCATTTTCTATCAGCTTCCCATGTGAGCGTTGAACCACAATCACGCCGCAGCGCTTTCAAAGCTGCCAAATTTCTCACCAAATCCACAGATCTGAAAATAAAAGCACTCACAGACCTGAAAAAGAAAACAGCATCCACAGGCAGCCTAATATTTTATTGTTTTATGCTTTAGCATGTTAAATGCGCCGAGAGGAACGTAGGCCTGACGTTGTTTCAGAAGAATTGTATTTTTAATTGTTTTATCATAGACTAAAAATAGGGAACTGTAATAACCCTATTAGTAAGACTCGCGTTATTTATTCTTCACAACGACGTTGTAAAAATCATTTCTGTTAACTACAACGTGACTAATAACGCCGAACAAGCTTTTACAGTTGTTTTAGTTTCGGCTTGTTTTACATGCGAAATGCTCACGAGAGACGCTAGTAAATTCAAATGGGCTACTACAACCTGTTGAGCGGTAGTTGCAATGGGATTAATTTATTACAAGTCATGAGTATTTTATAAATGTATAATATATATTATATTTTTATAAATGTATAATACATATTTATATAAAAATATATATGTTTTTTGTCCATTCTTATCGGCCTTATTTTTAGTTTTTAGCTGCACCCTCAAGACTTTTATTATTATTATTATTATTATTATTATTATTATTATTATTGTTGTTGTTGTTGTTGTATTTAAGTGTTTGTCACGACACTGTATTCTGGACTACAAATCAAGCTCTGACAAAATGTTGGCTGAATGAAAAAAAAAGGCCAACTCTCGTGCTGCGGAACTGAACTGTCCAGTTTTCGCTCCTCTTTATCCTGTATTTTTAGTGCTAACTGCACTGTGGCTGATGGAGTGAGTAAGCTGCGTTTGTTCGAACTCAGGGCCTGTAAACACTGACCACACAGCTACAGTCGCAGCGAACAGAGCGGAAAATCAAACAGCTCTACGAGAGACTCTTCACCTCTTGCCTGCCTGTGCCTTCATAACGTCGTAAGGAATGACAGACTGTATAGTCTACTCAGTGCTAAACAGATGCTCTAAAAATCTTCACATACTCATACACAAACATTCCCCATATATCGAGGTCTATTCTGGTCGTCGTGTCGCTAATGTGGCTGCAAAGACGTTTCAGGCAGTGAAACACATCTCCATATTTGACCGGGTTGCATCAGTGAAAGTTGCACAAAGCTTATCGTTCACTGCAACGGCTGGGAAATCATTCACATTCTCATTCTCTGGTTATTCTAACGGTGATTTCGCACATGCTTCACCATTTCAACCACAAAAAATGCTTCTCGTAATCCAGTGTATGCAGCTGTCTAACAGAACATTTTTCTTTGTGCTTCGCTTTCAAGTGTATTTTATATCATACAATTGTTTTTTATTTGTTATTTTAGTTCTTGATTTATTTCTATGAAGCCGACTGTAACTGATCCATACCTACTAATTCTGTTTAATTTCCCAATATGGCTGTTATTTTCCCTGCCTGCTGTCACTGTAAGCACACTTAAGAGGGAAAAGCATATTTTCTCTGTAGTCCCTCTCAGCTTTCGAACCTGTGAAATATTGTGAATATTGTGCTGCTGCAATAAATGATGTCGAATGACAGGCTGTTTTGAAATAGAGTGGACCTCTCCTACATCCACCCCTCACTTTATCTACACAAAACAAAATTAGAGTATTAGAATATCACAAAATATTATGATACTTCTAAAACAGTAAAAGTGTCTTTTCTTAGTGCTGTTAAGCACGTTCTCTGTGTGGAGTAAAAAATCTAACTATTAAAAATACTGTGGATATCTGTAAACGTAACATACAGCAGCTGTTTTCTGGTGTATTTAATGTCTTTGCCATGACTGTTCGCCTCCAGGTTTGAGGTAAAGTCGCTTCTCCTAATTCATAGTGAATCTGCTGCGAAATGTTGCTACACATTGCCAAGAGCTGAAAGAACAAATAGTGACAAAGTCACTCTTCGTATGGACTTCTAACTGTTAATCCAGCGCTCGGGGTTTATGGGTAGAACAGTGCGCTGGTCCAGTAAAACCTAACCGTCATGAGAATTAACGTGCAGTCGAAATGCAGGACAGGACACAGCCTACACGGGCGAAAAGTTGTAGAAAGTTCGCCCTTTTTCTCGCTTCACGCAGGATGTTTTTTGTCTGACGTCGTTCATCGTTAAGGCAGAAGTACGTAAACAACTGGCGGTACCGCGCACATCTCACCTCAGCACTCGCCTTCTTCGGCGTATGGGCGCTTCTGACAGACTTTTAGCCCAGCAGTAGAAAGGGCGGGGCTTGAACATGCAATTAACCGTTCACCGCTGTGATTCGCGGGAATTTTGTTGTGGGCGTAGCCTCGTTTTCCCTGCCCCCCTGTCCCCGCCCTCCAGCCTTTGGGGTTAGTGTGCTCATGTTTGGCTCGCAGAGACAGTCAGAGAGGAATCCTTAGGGAAGGGACACAAATCACTTCAGTTTTAACCAGAGGGGCGACTCGGAATCTGCAGCGATCAGGGGACTCCCCCTCTCGGCTTTATCGTTTCTTTATCATTTCATTTTCCTGCTTTTCTGACAGAGAAAGGTCTGTGCTGGGGACAAAAAAATCAGAGGAAGAAAGGAAAGCAAAGACGAGAAAACTTCTTGAAGGATGATGACATCTGATAGCAGTGCGGACTGTAAGCTGTGTTTGACACCATCAGTTTTCTGAACACGAGAGACACTCGTGCCGGCTCACAGCTCCATCCACTGTTTGGCTTCCGTTCGCAGTTTCTTCGAAAATCTTCGACTGTCGTCTTGGTGACACTTGGATTTGGACCTCGCTGTTCGTGTACTTGTTGCCTTGTTTGGTGTCGTTTAGATTCGGTCGACTTTCTCTCTTTCTCTCTCTCTCTCTCTCTCTCTCTCTCTCTCTCTCTCTCTGTTTCTATCTATCTCTCGGCCCACGCGGTAACCCGGGACACCCGAGAGCGCGCGCGCACTGACGGGGGCACGTGCGTGTGTGTGTGCGTGCCCGCGCGCGTGCGTGTGTGTGTGTGTGCGCGTGAGGGAGAGAGCGCGCTTTCATGTTCGCCGTTCAGGAGAGCGTGCAGCGGAGCGCAAGCGCGTTGAAAGAGGAGCCGCTCGGGATGAACGCGGCGGCGGTGAGGTCGTGGATGCAGGGAGCCGGAGTGCTGGACGCGAGCACCGCCGCGCAGAGGTAACACACAGAGACAGCTCTCTCTCTCTCCCTCTCTCTCTCTCTCTCTCTCACACACACACACACACACACACACACTGCGCTTACCTTACAGCAGAGAGAAGTGCGCTGTGCTTAACATAACTTCAACTAGCTTACTACAACAGCAAAATAATCACATCTAACAATAATAACAGCACGATATTAATATTATTAATAATAACAAAAACGACAATAAGAATGACAATAAGACGACAATAAGAATGATAATAACAATGATAGATTAATATTAATAATAACAACATGAGTGAGTGTAATTGTCAAACATAAGAAGTGCAACAACAAGAACTACAATAACAACAAAAATGTTAATGCTACACTCTTAGCAAGGGTTCTATAAAGTACCGAAAAAAGGTTTTAAAAGGTTCTTTAAAGAGCCATGTACAACAATCATACATCATATCTACATCATAGAGAAAATATTTAACCTTGCAAAGAAACATTTAAACTTTCAAAGGTTTAAACTGTTAGTTAACAGTTACATTTGCTAAAAACCCTATAAAGAACTTCTTTTTAAGGGGTGGGTGTGATGATAATAATAAAAAAAATAATAATAATAATAAGAAGAAGAATATATCGCAACATGTATTATTATTATTATTATTATTATTATTATTATTGTTATTATTATTATTATTGTCATTATCGTTGTTGTAATTTATGTTGACATTATAAATAGTGTTGTGAATATTATTGTTGTTGCTAAGCACATGTAAATTAAAAACAATTGAATTAGGACTCAGTTATAAAATTGAAAGTTAATAAAAAGTCTACATTTCTCTCTCTAACTCCGGACCCGGCTCACTGCTCGTGCCCTCTGTGTGTGTGTCCACAGTGGGCTCGCTCTGGCTCGCGCGCACTTTGAGAAGCAGCCGCCTTCCAACCTGCGCAAATCCAACTTCTTCCACTTCGTTTTGGCGCTTTATGACCGGCAGGGTCAGCCGGTGGAAATCGAGAGGACCTCATTCGTTGACTTCGTGGAGAAAGAAAAGGTAAGGTCATATCTGTTCCTCTTTCCATTTTTTACACAAACTGTTAAATTATTTTTCAGCCTCAAATTTAGTCTGTAAAGGATTGAAGAAAACATTCAAATTAAAAACTGTAATTATTTAAGCATGTGCGCTTTATTTATGCATAATGTTTTATGCATGTGTACAATTATTTATGCTGTATACTTTTAATGATGTCTTGGATTTAGCCCGACAATAAAAAAATGCACGGAAATACAGAAAATCCACACTTTTGTAAAGGTCACTTTTACTCAGGCAATGAAATTTTTTGGAATTTAATAGTTATTTAGGTTTAACTAACTACATTTAACTACATTTAATGCCACACATTGCAGCCCTTCAGAAGATAGATAAATTAATTTCACAACGTTGTCTAAATTTTATTTTTAGTTACTAATGTGAAGCTGTATTAGTGGCTGAAAATTATTTTTGTCTATGTTTTTTTTTAAATGTGGAAATGTGCAGCGTTTAGTCGATAATTATTTTATAACTCATTATAATTCTCTATAATTCGTATTCAGTTGTATCACCAGAAAAGTACGTTTCCATAATTACTGCAGCCTCTTCAGGCCTTACAAAGTCTAGGAGAATAAATGCTGTTCTTTCGCCTTCGTTCTTCACTGCATTTGCATTCAGTGTTTGTCTTAGAATAAATATCTTCGTCTGTCAAAAGCATGATATCCTCATGACTGCTATGCTGTTTTGATGTGCTTTTTCTCCGCTGTATTTCCGCCCAGGAGACCACTGGAGAAAAGACCAACAATGGAATACATTACAGGCTGCAGCTCCTCTACAGTAACGGTACGACACTGTTCAGGCCTCTGCTTTCGCTTCACACACCATACATACACACACACACGCACACACACTCCCACCACAAACACACTTTGCATTCGACGACATTAAAAATAGCTCCGGAAAGCAGGTGCAGTCACATCACACGAAGATTGACGTTTCATTTACACGTTTAAGTCAGCGATTAGCATCGTTTAAGTAACTGGCTTGTAAACAATTAAACTCATGATTGACTTATCAACATTAAACACCATATTGGAGCAATTTGAAGACGTTAACAGACTTAAAAAGTTGCACGGAGCTCTCTAAAAAATCTTACATTTACTTTTCATATTTTTAATATTCACAAATCGATTCGCTTTGTCATGTGACACAACGGACTGTGATTGGTTTCTGCACTGCTCATGAGTGACCAATCAGAATCGGGCTGAATTTGGCGTTGGTTAATACCAGTATTCTTGTACGTGTTTAAACTGAAGCCCAGGAGACGGTTCAGACCGCTCCCCTTTGTGTATGTTTTTATATCTTATAATTTTTAGAACTCTTCTTACTTAAACACCCGCGATGGAGAGTAACTCCTAACACGTGCTGCTCTCTCTGCAGTCTGTTTACCGCGGGACTCTCTCAACCAGAGCCAGGCTGGTTTGTGTGGAGCGTCTACTGTGTAAACGTTAGTTCCCTGAACTGTATCAAATTCGTTTTCCGTACTTTCACTGTAATACATTCAGTGGGTGTGAATGGTGGACATTATTTAATTATTACTATAGGTTTTTGTAATTTGTAGCTGAACATGACTATTTTGTTTACGTTTTTTACGTCTGTCATAGCCTATATATTCAGTCGGACAACGTGAATTTTCATTTTTGGTATATTTTGCCTCAGACGGCTACCCTCGAGCATTCGCGTTTCCTTAAGAAAAACAAATAGAGTTTATCCGCCCGTTTCTGTACTCATTTTAGCGCGCGCTAGTCGGCTTGGCCCTGTCGTGTCACTTTGAGGGAATCCCTGATGCCATTTAAGGGTCGTTCCATTACTGTACTAGCTCAAGTGAAGTTTGTTAGAAGAGCCTCGGAGGCGAGGGACCGAGTGAAAACAAGTGGCTTCCTCAGCAGCAGAACTAGCCCAGAAATCATTATCATTTGATGCAATTGCCTTTTCAAACTCCTAACAGTAGTAGACAAAGCGGTTAGTAATGAAATAAGTTAAAATAAGTGATATTTCAAAACTAACATTCCATTTTCTATGTTACGTGGCTGCCGATGTAACTGTAATTAGCAAGCTAAAAGCTACACAGCTAGCAATAACAAAAAGAAAGAAAATACAAAATAACGAAGCGATTATTCACAAAATGTATGTATTTTGTGTTCAGATTAAATTCTCAGTTTCAAAGTTTGCATGGCTAGCTAACTAATTAGTTCACCGTGGCTAGCCTAGCCAAGGGCAGGTGCGCACCCATTCCCCTCCTCCCCTTATTTTTAACCGTAGCCACGTGCAGCGTAGGTGTGACGCACTTCCAAGTGTTGAGTCAATGTCAGTGAGGCCATGTTAGTACTGCCTAGTAAACCCCTAAGGCACTTGATCATAAAGCTATAAACACTGAATTCCCTCTCCAACGAACCTCTGTTACAGGCATTAGGACAGAGCAGGACTTCTACGTGCGTCTCATCGACTCCATGACTAAACAGGTAAGACCTCCTCTCCTGGTGGTATCTCTACACTGCATGTGAGTGTCACCGCAGGCTGATCCATGCACAGCTGCATGTTTGGCACTGCAGACGGTCTTTTGTGGCGTTCACGCGGGCTCTGCGGTTGCGCTTTGTTTGAATATGTAAACATATTTAATTTTTTGACGTACAAGCGCTGTTTCTTGCATTGTGTGTCTGCTCAAGTATGTTTTTATGGGTTCAGTATGAGCATTAGCAAAATCTCATGTTCTGACATCCGCCTGTCCAGATACGTACGTATCAGAGCAGTCACCTTGCAGCTCCAACTGTCATCTGTTGGCATGAACGATTTGTTAATCATCTTCAATGGCCAGAACCACACAGCCGCTCTCGGCTGGATATTTTGAGGGGTGGTGACACTGCAGTGTCTGATACACTTCTACCCCAGTGCCACATGCTATACCATGCTACATTGTGTCACATGTTGAGAGTGGTCCGCCACGCATGTGATATTAACAGTAGTCCTGTGGTCAGAAAATACTTATTGAGGAATTGTAAACCTATATAATAGACCTATAAATTAGGTCAGTCTTGGTCCTGATGTCCCCTGTATGACATAATCGGCTTGTTAATTAGCTGTTTAGTTAGATCAGAAAAACAACTAAATATGCATGGTGGGGATACTCCAGGACAAAGACTGGGAACTGTTTGAAACTTTATAGGTGGACCTCATAAAGTGGCCAGTGAGTGTAATAAAGTGGACATAAGTGGGGTTGACAGTTGATTCCAGAGTAGCTTGCTTGTGGTTGAATATACACAAGAGACTTTATACCTATAAGATTTGCATTATAGATATTTGCTGTAGCTCTTGCTAGCTCTGCTGTTTTTTGTTAAACGCTGCTGTATCAGAGCCCTGTTGTCTGGGGTCATCTCTGATGGTTCACATTTAGTTGTTGATACTAGGAAAGGATGTTAGAGACTGATAATAAATCAGGATAGATTTGTGCTGTATCCTACATTTTTTTTATATTTTATTTTTTTGCCCTGAGTCATTAATGTTTGTGTCGTCATTCACTTTTTACCATTTTCCAACCTCACTTTATACTTTGGAATAAAACAGGCTGTTTTTGTATTCTATTGTGTCTCATTCAGAAAGCAGTTCAGGCTGAAACACTCCTTTTAACTTCACTGTGAATGAGTGGAGCTAAACCACTGAAGGCTGAATAGGCAGATATATGTAAATTCACTGTTTTTTGTAAGCTGATTTGCACTTTAGTTTCCATATATACACTGTTTGGATTGTTATTTTGAAACTGTAATAAAGTTCACATACTACATAGACTCTGAATCATAAAGTGAGGAAAATTAGTTTTTTCGATGTTATGGACCCCAGAATATAAATTTTAGGTAGAGTGCACTCTTAATAATGGATATAATTGGAGCACTGCCATAGAAGAGCCACTTTTGTTTCCCTAAAGATCTATTCAGTGCAGTTGTTTCTGTGGAGTTTCCTAAGGAACCATAGATTGAAAGGTTCTTTAGGAGACCAGAATTGGTTCTTTTATGGCAACTACTTTTTATTTTTAAAGATGTGGTTGTTCGTTTTAGTAAGTTTTGCTACAGTGGCCATCTGCTGTGAGCACTGATGGGCTGCACTGTGGTGTCTTTGCGCTTCAGCACTAACATACCTGCGGCGCAGCTTCCCTCTTGCTCTCTTTCCTCCGTGCGTCATGGGGGATATCAAAGCACATTAAACCCCGGTAGCTGCCACTTTGACAGCACTTGTCTGCCAGTGCTGGGAAGCGCTGTTGTTTTCTAACTAACTGTTTTGCCACTCTTCGTGGGAGGACATGGCACTTTTGTGCACCGTGTCGCTTGCACTCTCTCTGTTTATCAGTGTCAAGTTGAAAAAAAATATATAATAATAATCACCCTGTCGCCTTGGCTTCTCCCTCGCAAATCTTTTGTAGTTGTCTGCTGGCAGATCGCGGAATATATTTAGCACTTGTATTCATTATTTCCCCCACACCCCCCAACCTAAATGGAATAGGTGTAATAGAAGTCGCTTGTAATAAGATTGCCATCTGCTTTGTTGCCGCATTGTCTGGAAGAAAGTTCAGGATTGCGAAGGAAACGCTGCTTAAGACATGAATCGGTTGGAATTCAAGGTGATGTGCTCTTGCTTGTGTATTCCTCTCTCAGCTAGTGGAGTGGGTGTAAAAGTAGTCAAAGTGTATCACGTTTTGTTTTCTCCTCCACAAGGTGCTACTCAGTGTCGCATCCACTTGGAACCAGTTCCGCTAATCTTAGAACAACTACAGTTTTTTTCACCCCTGCTCCTGGTAGGTTTACTACATGAGAAAAGTAAGTAGGCCGCTCGATTGGCATGTGGCTTTGATTTGGATTTCCTCGGCTCTGGATCAGATGTGCCCTAGCTCGAGGGCAGTTGAAGCTTGTGGAAAGCATGAAACGAAACCAAGCTAGGTGCTGACCACAGGGAACACCTATACAGGTGTACTTGGCAGTGTTGTGGCTGTCCCTCCCTCGCCCTGGTCCACCTCTCTTGGTGTAAGCTGATCAAATTTTAAGGACTTTTGAAGAGTTGCCCTGGTCATTATCTGTCGGACTGAGTGATTGGTCATAATCACCACAGGTTTTAGTCACAAAGAGTTGTGGTTGGGAGATGGCTGTTAAAAAGCTGGGATGCAAAAAAGTGCAGGTGTAGATAGACACAGCTTGTCACTGTCAGAGGTTAGGAACACCACGTTTGAAACTTGAATTTCTTGCGGTTTCTATTCAGCTAAGTAAAAAAAAAGATACCAACAAAGACTTTCTGATTTGCTCATACTTTGAGTATATTTTGTTTCACCCAGCTTCTTGTTCATCAAAATGTCTTCCTTGGTATGAAGAGTATTTTTTAAATAATGACTTGACAGTTTTCTTTGTTAAAACTGTGTGTTGAACTTGTTTGGCTAAAAGATTTGAGTGCTGACATTGCAACAAGGAGATAAATGCTTGGGGTTTGGCATTTTTTCCAAGTTACAAATATTTATGCTTGATATTGTTCTCCTCAAAATAAACCTAGTTAGTCTTTAATTTGTTAAAGGAAAATTCCACAGTTTTTTGTAACTCTGCATATTTCAATCTTTGAGATGTAAACGGTCATTCAGAGTGGTTTGATGGAAATAATGCATTAGGGAAACTGACCAATTCAGATTTCCTTACAGTGTTGATGATAGGAACCAGGGATCACAGTGTCTATGATGACAATATAGCCATTTTGTTGTCAAATATGACCAAGAATCTTAGACATGTATTCTGAATTTTCATTTTTGATATTAAGATGATAATGGTTAAACATAGATACATCCAAAACTATGTGTTCCTTGAGTACAGTTGCCTCAGAACTCCCTGCATGTACCTCTGCACCATGCATATGTGATGTAGGCCAGTACTTGTACATTTTTAAATGTAACAACCTTTTTGTGAGGTACCTTTTAGAGGTATTAAGCACTTTAGATATCACCACCACCATGAGTAATTCTAACTCGTTAGGTTTCTCTAGAATAGAGCATTTTATGTCAAACCACTTTGAATGACTTTATTTACATTTTAACCATTTAATTATGCAGATATTTTGAAAAATTGCTGCTCATTGCTTCATTACTAGCTTGACCCTAAAGCTACATCATGACTGTGCTTCTATGTATGTGTTGGCATATGCTGCTGGTCAGCCCCCACGTATATGACACGTGCTGGAAAATATGGACTGATTCTGTTAAAGTTTTCTTTGTCAGTGTGGTCACAGTTCTTTTGAGGTGAGGCTGATTCATAATGACAAATATGAGATATTCTAGGAAGATTGCTGGTGTGTAGTTAGTCATCAGTATATGAATGAATAGTATGGGCAAAGGAGAATCAGGGACACTTGGTACCCATATTAACATTGGTGCAGAGGCCAGAGTAGGACAGGGGGCTGAGAAAGAAGGAGTGACAGTCTCTCAGCTGAATGTGTGCTTAGCGACTGTGAGCAGATCAACGCTGTGCCACCCCTGTGCTATTATTTCTCTTTGCCTTCATCCCATTCTCATTTTTCATCTTACAAAACTTTTTCTCCCTGCTGACTCCCAGCTACTGTGACTCAACTGCCTTACAATTTCTCTGTCATCATCTTTTATATTTTCATATTTTTATCCTTTTTCACACCACCCCTTATGTTTTTCATTCCCACAACTCCCAACATCTACCTTCCACTACCTCTCATTTAAGCTTCTCTCCTGCTCTGTGTGGAGCTCGCTTGTCCTCTCTCCCTTCCTCTTCTATAGCTATCTCTCTCCTCTGGATAATTTCACCACTTCCTGGTTTCTTAGGCTTGATGCCGGTGTATTTGAGGTGGGGTGTGGTGGGATAGCTGCTTGTGTGCATGTGTGTGCTTTGGAACAAAGGGGGAAATCACGGCACCTCTTTAAAAGTAACACACAGGCCTGGGAAAAAAGGCGGCGGCGTTGGCACGCTAACAGATGATGCTAACCATGTAGGAAGTGTGCTTCCGTGTATTTATAGGCTCTTGTTTACACGCCTGCGATTTCAGGCGTCACATCAAAGCTGTCGAGGAAAAAACGCCGGATAGGATATGAAAAGTGCGCTTGGCAAGATGAAATATGTATTAAAACAGTACATGTTTCTAAACGTGCCCCCTGTGTACTTTTGGCATGGATGTGAGATTGTCCCAAACAGCGCACTTGTGCCACTCATTTTAGAGGGCAATATTTTTTTTTTTCACTGGGCCTGTGTTTACTGAACTAAAAGCAAAATAGTACCCATGTGATCATGGCCGTTTCTTGCTACAAGCAATATATACAGTCCATATCTGCATAGGCTTTATAAGTCCCCCAAGATATAAAGTACCTGCTTGTCTTATAAATATAATATGGAGACATCAGAAATGAGGTACATGCCACTAAAACACTAATTAGACATTATGATGCAAAGGTCAGAGACCTCCTGTATTTAGTTTCCAGTCAAAATGGCCATTAAATGCAAGTCATTCATTTTTCAGAAGGCACATATTTAACAAAAACATTTACACATTTAAACATAAGCGTCAACAACTAACAACTAAATACAATATCAAATTTTCAATTTTAGTATGTCCTTTAGTTTGCCTTCTTTTTGGCAGACTTGCTCTCAGTTTTTCAAAGAAATACACAAAGAAATTCCACACCTGAAGTTCAGTATTAGAAGTTGGTTGCATTTTCTGCTTCTCATGATCCAAGCACGCTAAACACATTCAGTGATGTTGAGGTCTGCAGCTTGATTGTTTGCAAATGGTCTTCCTTTTTTCAACTTCCTTTTCTGAGTAATAGCTTCTTGACAGCTACACATCCTTTCACATCCGTTGCATTTTTTTCTTCAGAGCTTGAAGCAAGTGTGGAGCTTGATTTTCTTTCTCAAAGATGAAAGCTTTAATCCGATGGTGACAGTTCTGGTGGTCTACCATGTCTTGCAGGTTTGTTAGGAGTTCTTATTTCAATAATAATTTATTTGATTTTTTTACAGACAAAATCATATAATTTGTGGGTGTTGGGTAGGCTCCCAGATATTCAGAAATGGCCCTGCATGTATATAAAATCTCCCCTGAGTATTTAAATGGTCTTTCAGATATAGCATATCAAAGATGATAGACCTATAAACTAAACTGACTAAACACTGACGTAATAATCTACCTAACACTACCAACCAAATATGCGAAGGGTAGTTCATTTCTTGTTGGAGACACTTTCTCTTGGTAGGCTCAGCTGCTAGGATCAGTTCAGGATTTGCTTGGCCTTATTCTTGAAAGCTAATAATTCATCCTGAGTTATAACAGTGTGATGTTATTGATTGCATAATGTGTTTTAACCTACTGCAGCATTTGCATACATAATAATATGATCTCAAAGATAGATTTGATTCAAACTTGTTATGTTCTATTGAATTACATTAGAGCTTTTCATAGAAGAATGTTTGACACAAGATTAAGGTGAGGTTTGTCCCCATAAAGAACGCAGTGCAAGGCCGGGACGTGCTAAGGTAGATACATATGGTGTATAAGTGTGGAGCAGCGGGCAGACAGTGATATATTCTGCACGCTTTTAGAAGACCTTGGCCCGCATTCTCTCAAAGTGAAAGAAAAGCAACTGAATGAATCCCGTGAGCTTGCCAGCTACGGCAGCGGCTGCAGCGCTATCACTTTCAGTGCCTTTTGTGGGGTGTAAAGTACACCTGAAAGACATCAAACAATGTATCAATTGTACGCCATTGTAAGCCAACATATCAACTGACAAGTAGGACGATCCTACCGTTCAGTGACTCCGTTTAAATAGACTTAAAGATTCTCATCAGTGCTTTTTACTGGAGTTTTTGTTTATTTAAGATGACCTTTCTATAGTTAACCCTATTGTACCTAACGTCTCGTCAAGAATGCATTCAGAGACTTTGGCTGCATCCCCTTTAACACATTAAAATCTGCTGCCGGTGGAGGGTAGAATGCACGTTTGTCTACATTGAGGGCAGTAAAATGGACAGCATGTGGAATTAGAGCTTTTTGTGTGCTGCTGTGTTTTCTATCATGATATAAAAGAAGCACAATGCTAACTTCACGCTGCTGGATCATATTCTTTTATATATTGCTATAAATGTGACATCAACTGTATAATATAGAATATTAAATTATTATTATTATTATTATTATTATTGTATAGTATATTAAAACTTTTTATTTCTGCATTAAAAGTGCACGCTGGCCAAAATGAAAATTTTACATAGCTAGATAGCTAACATTACTTCTAGAAAGCCAAATATGTTATTGCAACCATGTAACTTTAGTAATGCAAATGACAGAAATGAGATGTCAGATGAGGAAAACAAGCTAAAAGCTAAAGTTAGCAAAGTAGCTATCTGGTTATCTAGATACCTTACCTGAGTTGGACTTCTTTTCTCTGTCTGAAAGAATTAAAAAACTTGCTTCTGGTAAGATAAAGAATTGTTGTTTTCTCCATGATTATGTTTGACTGAGGTCAGAATTACACTAAAGCTAGTTTGGTTGTATTTAGGTCAGTGCATAGCACATAACAGTCAGTGCTGGTTGACACCATAGGGATTCCCAGTTATTGTATGATAATGCATGCTGGTTATTATAGTGAAACATAAAAACATGAATTCTGTCAAACCATGAAAGCTGAGGGCGACCGTTCTGCACAACAGAATGCTACATTACATGACAAATAACATAGTAAACAGCTTTTGGCACCTTTAAAGGGTTAAACATGAAGCTTGCCATCTTTTGTAGAAAAGCAGCCGCTTTAAATGGACCAGGTTACCAAGGGTGTGGAAATGGGACAGATTTGCGGCCAATCTGTACGCTTCTAAACGAGACGTATGAGTTCTAGCAAGGTGATGCAGTTGGCATTGTCAAGCGAGGCACTGGTTGGAATGGCATGCCACACTTGATATTCTGCTTTGGAGGGGTGTTTTTTTTGGAGGTGGGGGGTGACAAGAAGCTTTGCCAGCCTGGCAGAGACGTGTATTTTTTTTCTGCTAGGGAGGGGCGAGAGCAAAGCCATGAAGATTCAGGAGAAAATTGTTGGGGGGGTTGAGGGGGGCTTGCCAGATGGCGCCTCCATGCTCCAGTCTGGCATCCCAACTGCTCGCCCCCACAGCCACCTCCTCCAGCCCTCCTGCCCACCTTCAGTGCCCCCCTCCCCCAACCACCGCCCGCCACACCCCAGCAATTGTTTGGCGTGTTACACGCTAGAGTAGGTAAAATGCCAGTGGGCGCACAGGCCATTACACTTCCTACCCAGCTTCCTTCACACTTTCAACATCTGAAAAAACAAAACAAGAGAAAGAGATAAAGCAAAGACAGACAAAAAGAAAGAAACAAGGCAGAGAGACAGAAAATAGAGACAGAAAGATGAGCGCTTTATAGTTTTTTTGTTTTTTTTTCTGAAGGACTGGATAGTATGAGTCATGAATTTTTAAGGCCTGAGAGTGAAGGGTGGAGATCCAGCGACTCGCAGACAGGAAAAAGATGACATTTCCTCCCAAAATGTCTTCTAGTTGCCCTAGAAGGCATCTCATTCCCGTTTTCCAGGAAAAAAAAAGAACAGGCCTAGGCCCATGTTCCAAGTGTAGTTCTCATGTGACGCTTGGGAAACATGTGTTGGTTATTATTTGCAAATTCTTTGTAAATAACTCATCATGATTCAAATGTTTTATAAATGCCTGCAGACAACTCTAGCCAATCTCATCCCTCATCATCTTCCCCACCTACAACAGGTGTTCTTCTATAGAATGTGGCACAATGTAGAATGTAAAAGTTCTCTTAAAAGAATAGTTTAGCTAAACGCACTCCAAATGTAATCAAGATACCATGTTTGGTGTGCAAAGTTTACTTCTTTAATTTTGTATAAGTGGCTAATGTAGCTAACAATTAATAGAAACTTATGTACATCAATTAGCGTTGTGCTCTACATGCTCAAATTTACACATTTACCTCAAACTGCACTAGTTGTTAAGTAATCTCAAATAGACTTCCTTATGTGGATTCTGACACTGTATGTCATTAATCTATAAATAAATCATGTTTAAAGATGGTGCTTAGGTGATGTATTAATGTTCTAAGAATCACACTTTGGACATGAAGAAAATTGTATAAATTAAATTTATTTGCCCCATTCTATTCCTAAAACATCCAGACCTTTGTTATTCCACAATCTCTAGTCAGGAAAACTCAAGTGTGAGGCATCGTCAAAAGAAAGAAGTTTAACAGCTAGGTACTTCCATCATCCCATGAGCCGCAAACACTGTGGCTAGCCAGAGCCTCTGGATGGCCAGTTCCTAGGCCATTGACGCTGAAATGGCCCTACTAGGTTCCCACGACACACTGTGCTATTCATTAAACACAGTGCTGGCCACAGGCCGTAAAAAGCCTAAGCTCTCAGGCCCCCTCACAGCGTGTTTGTGTGTTTCTCAAGTGGAATCCGGTCTCTTAAATTCCAAACTGTACAGGAGCAAGAGAAGAAGGAGCAGAGTGGGAAAAAGTCTTTGAGATGGGATTCAAGGGGTTGCACTTGAGACTGTTTGACTTTGGAGATAGTAGCCCAGCAGAGACATCATAGATTGCAGCATGCTGCTATCTGGGATTGAACTGTGGAGAACCAAAACCAGGAGATGCTTTTACTGTTACCCTGTTAGGTCTATGTAAAACAAGCTTCATCAAATGCCCAGTGTCCAGTGTTTCTACAGAAAACTCTCTGTAACACTAACCTTTCTTTTCTCCTCTCCAAGGCTATCATCTATGAAGGTCAAGACAAGAACCCTGAGATGTGTCGCGTGCTACTGACTCACGAAATCATGTGCAGGTAAGATTGTGGTCTTTGCACAGTACAGGACACTGCACAGTAAAAGTACACTTTGTAAAATATGAATCGAGTAAAAGTAGAAGTCCTCTATTTATATTTCTACAAAAGTATTTGCTTTTAAATATACTTAATTATCAAAAGTAAATGCACTATAGTTTATTCTAGCTATCATTGTGATGTTAAATTATTTTGATGAATGATTTTATTTTGTGTTGAGAGAGGAGTTTTGGTGGAGACAATATAAGTTAAGACATCCTCTACACAGAACACACATTTTAATGTACAGCTACTGCTTATTTGCTGAATTTAATGTAAACACAAAATGTGGTCTGTGCAAATGTTATGACACATTTTCAATTTTATGTCTTAAGTTTTTCCAATAGGTTAAACTCAGCAAATAAATAGAAATGGTGCATTAAGTTAGCAGAAAATGCACATTTAAGTTTCCTATAGAGCAGTGGTCACCAACCTGGAGATCAACCTTCCTGTAGAATTTACTTTAAAGCACAATCAGCCACGTCTGCTCCAGCTAATTAACTTCTTCAGAAGTCCTCGATTGGCTGGATCAGGTGCATTAGTGTTAGGAAGGGGAGGGGTCTGCATCTTAGATGAGGGCTGGAAATCTGCAGGAAAGTAGTTCTCCAGGAAAAGCGTTGGTGACCACTGCTGTAGAAGATCGGTTAACTTATTTTCACTTAGAAAATCAACAAAACATTTTATTTGACCAGATGTATTCAAACTTTTACATATGAGTGTAGACCCAGACCTTGCAGTTAACAGTTCTGTATTGTTGCAGTGCTTTCTTGTGTTCTAGTTAAGTTACTGCGCTTGTGCTGTTTTTGGGTTACTTGAACAATAAATATGTTCTTAAAAGAACAGCAATTGTTCATTGCCTAATGGCAGCTTTGTGACACTTTATAGTCCCTGTGCAGTAGTATAATACATATACATTAATTTAGTTATTTTCTACCTCTAAATTATAACCCCACTTTCAATATGATTACTGTGGTCTCAGTAGAATTCAGTGCAACATTAGGAATAAAGTAGTATTCCTTGTTGCTTGTGCCTGATAACTGATGCTAACCAGGTCAGCCTTATAAACCTCCAGCGTATGAAGAAGAAAACGACAAGTAAAATACGGTAGAAGATGAGTTTTGCTATCAACCATTCTGTCTTTAATTAACATCTGAAGATGAATCTTGCATAAAAGTAGGTTGTGAAGATCGACTTCTGCCTATTTTTAGCGATATTTTAACAGCGCCCCTCCTCATGAATATCACCCCGATACCTAGTTAATTAGGGCAAGTGGAAACTCATTACTCACTTTGAATTTTTCTGTTTAACAAATACGCCTCCACTCCAGCAAATGCCAGGTTTGAATTAGGAAAATACATAACGCGGTGGGCAGCTCAAGTGGTAGTGGAGGCATGTGTGTACACATACACACATTCATGTGATGGTGACAAAGATCTTCCACCATGACACTAGGCAATCTGGTGCCAACCAATTGGGCTCCCCTCCGCCACTCGCCACAGCGTAGTGCTGATTCTGCGTGCGTGTATGTATGTTGGGGGGTGTTCAAACGCACTCTCAATTATAAGCAGAAAATTAGGCTGTTCACTATTAATCAGCCCCGCTAATTGCCACACACCACCATTAGCCATATGGTGCCGTGCCAGCTTGCAACCGTGGGACAGAAGTGCTTATTCCTTTCATTTGAACAAATTAAAAACAAAAAAAAGCAAAAGGAAAATGCCCGAAAGAGTTGCTTGAGGATGTTACTCGCAGAACGTGGCCCTCTTTTTCAAAGATTAAGGTTGTCATAACACCAAGGCCAGTGACATAAATCAAAGCATTCGATGAAGCAAAATATATGCTGGGGGAGGGTCACTGCGACCATGTTGCTGTGTCGACAGCAGCCGCTGTGTGTTGTTAATTACACAAAGAGATTTGGGTTTAATTTCTTCAAAAGCTGATTCAGGAAGGAAGTGCCAAGATTAAAGATACCATTTCCTTTCGGGGGTCCTAAGGGATGGACTGATGTTAACGGGAAAAATAGATAATACCCCCCTCCAAAAAAGTAAGCTGATAGAGGCGTGTAGCAATTAAAATCATTTCTGCTTATACTGCTGTGTGTTCTGTGTGGCAGGAGAAGGCTGAGAAAAAACGTGTCTCCCATGGGTGCCAACAGATTTGATCGTTAGGCAGCTACAAATCTTGTTCCTTCACATTCTTCACACACACACACACACACACTTGATTCTCCCTTGTTCTGGTCCTTTGGGAGGACACTGACCTAGTTGAAGGAGCCCCACAAGAAAGAAAGAAAATTATATGATTTCTTGCTATTTGCAACAACTAAACACACACATCCATTTCAATTGTACATTTCAAAAATAAAAAAAAAATAATTCTTTGTATATAATATATAGTTTATATATTTTTTTTTGTTGCAAAGGATATCAGTATAACATTTTGAGTGAAATGTATAATGTTTTAACTATTCATCTGAATTTCTTAGTATTTTGTATGTCCCTTATTTGCTTAAGTGACAGTGTGCAGATTGAACTATAAATTTAAGTTGATTAACTTAAACAAGCCTCTCATGAGTAGATTAAATCCACCTGAGAGGCGTGTGAACACGAGATTTAACGGAAGAGAGAAGACTAAAAAATGTGTGACCTTTTTGTATGAAGACCTTAACATCGTCAATGTCACAAATTTGCCCAAGGTTGAGTAGTTATGCGATCTAGACGTTGCACATAATTCTGAATATTTCTTCTTCATTTTACTTACTGAGATATGAAGTTTTGTCCAACACATACACACACACACTGGCCATATCTAATGAACAGTCAATGCTCCAGATAACTAATACAACCTCTCATAAGCTTGTAGTAAAGTCATGAATGATTGATGGAGTCCATTGATAAGGGCCTGAAATTTGTGTCGCAGGCACAAATGAGGGAGGAGGAGGGGTGTGGTAGAGAGAGAGAGAGAGAGAGAGAGAGAGAGAGAGAGAGAGAGAGAGAGAGAATATTGGGGAGGAGAGACAATGCCAGGGGTTTCATGTGACAGTTCTGTCCCCAGCCCCTTTCAGTGTCGCACTGCCATCTGTGCTGAGGAAATCTGAGCCTGGGGGTCTCTCTCTCTCTTTCTCTCTCTCCCTTTTCACAATGCTTAACCCCTCAATTGCACTTTTGTCACCTCAATCCTGCAACACTATCATTTTAATATATATGTATGATATAGTGTTTATAGAACAGACTACAATCTTAATTTACATTGAAAGTTGTCTTTGTCCTGTAAAGTTACTAGTCACTGCTGTTATTGTATTTATTCTAATGTGAGTTTTCATTTTGTGAACAGAAAGAACAAATGTGAGAATGTGTGATAAATATCTGTAGCAGTAGTGTAAAACTAACTATTTCTTTTACACAGTACTGTACAAAAGTCTTACACTGTTAAAATCAAACAGAAGTTTATTTGAAATGTTTTTGATATAAAATATTGCTTTTGTTCATCTAAAACAAAATTTTGCTTTGCACTTTGCATTGTATTATTTAAAGTATTTATTTAAGTTGAATGAACCCACTTTAATTCTTTTTTACCATGTTAAAGTTAAACTGAAAAAAAAAAACAAAACATTTTTACAGTGTAGGCACCTAAGCGAATTGTTTAAAACCATTTATCTGGACAGTGATGTGTTTAGCTTGTGAACACACTATATGACGTGATTATAAACAGTAATGCAGTAAAACCAGTAAAAAAAGTAATGAGAGTTGTTTTCGAGACGGTAGTTGAGATTTTGTGAGATTTTTGGAATTTGTTTAGCTCTACCACCAGCATGACTGATTTAGGTTAATGAAATATTGATTAGTCCAATTAATAATGGGCTGCCACAAGAAGGGGTTTGGAAATGGTTAGACAAACACATACAAACACATACATACAATCACCACTTATTGTACTAATGTTATTTGTAGTTGTTCTAATATGAGTTTTTGTAAACAGAAGGAACAATAACTAAATGACTGTAGCGGTAATGTAAAACTAACTGGTTCTTAGTTTGTTTCACTTCTGGCGATTAAACTGCAGAGTTTTATTGCAACCCTAATTATGTCCACCTCACACTCAGATGCTCCTGAAGGTTAGATTAACCAATTCAGGCCTTTTAAATCAAGAGCTTGTAAATAATTTAACAAATCAATGTAAGAGACTGTTATCAAGAGCATAGGGCGTAACACATTAGTACATTGCTGTAAACCAGTGTAATACTTTAGACAAACTTGTTGGTTTAGCAACTTGTAAGAGCAGTAAACCTGTTTTGCATTGTTTTCTGGCAAATTGACTTGTGGTGTGTAGTGTACACACATACCTGCTGACTCTTAAATTAGCATTTAGTATAAAATGACTTAAATTAGCATTTTATAAGCAATTAAATTAACAATTCTACAGACTCAAAAACAAAGGTTTTATTTTGCAAACATTCCTAGCTGGATAGCTGCAACCCACAGAAGGTTGACATATGTGTGTCCCTCCTATACCTGCCTCAGGTAATATGAGGACAAAACCCACTCAATCCTTTCTGCCTTCCTCATGCCAGTCATTCCCACCCAGCTGTCATTAATGGCAGAGTGGCCTCTAGTTTGAATTGCTGTTATGCCAAAGCAGTAATCAGTACATATGTGTCAATAAATAACATCCTCCGGCTAGCTCCTGATGCTTACCAATGTGTCGTTAATCCTTAGATGATGCAGTAATCACCATCAATAACAAAAGCATGTTATAATTTGATATTGCTTATTTCTCACTTATAGCATATTTGTGTTTGTAAGTAGGAAAACTGATATTTTATTGAATTTGATAAGTTGTTGTTGTTAATTTTGTCATTTAATGATTTTGAAGTGCAAAGTCACTCACTTGATACAGAACATAAACTGAATGTAACTCATTGTGTAACTTACTATGTAATTGCATATGTAAGTACATGATTACATTTTAACAGTGTAGCAAAATAAAAATAATAACTCAACTTCTAAGGGTTAAATGATGCCTGTCTTTACCGCTTAAGCCCTAAGGACCCATACGTGGCCCACCTTCTCATAACTGTTCAACTTACCTATTAGTTTCAGAGTAGGAGATTTTTAGAATTAATAGTTAATGAATAAAGTAGTACAATCAGTAACTAAATAATAAGCTTAAGGTAAAGGATTTAATGTGTTAACGTGATTCTTCCTTCTTCCTTTTCTCCTCCCTCCTCCTCTGTACCAGTCGGTGTTGTGACAAAAAAAGCTGCGGGAACCGAAATGAGACACCATCGGACCCCGTCATTATCGACAGGTAGGAGCCCTTCCCTCTTCATTACTCCGCTGTGACAGGTGTTTGAGTGGATCTGTGTACAGCCTCATCATGAAACATGAGTGTTAATAACATGGGTGTTACTTCCGTCGTAACATTACGTCTGGACTGTGATCAGCTTCTGATCGCTTGTAATTCAGTGACTTCTGCTGTGAATTTGTGGAAGCATATTGTCGGACGTTTTTGCTGGGGGCAATCAAAATAGCTGTTTGTTGGCCTGACCACCTAGTTTGCTTCCAGCGAGACTTCAAGCCTCAATTAAGGTTTTTTAATGGAGATTTTGTTCTTATTGATTATCGAAGATATTGCTTTTTAAATGTGATTCATCACACCTTCTCGTTGTGGTTCAATTATGCCCAAATAAAATGAAAAATACATTGGAAACATTTCGATCTTTACCAGAAATTTGTTCTTATAATGCAGGCGTTATCACTTTTGGATTAATTCTCGGAGAGGTGGGTCAGAAATCATGGCTCTGTGTCCAGTTTTAAAAATGTCAGTTCTCGAGAGAGTGCTTGTCTGTAACCATGTAAACAATCTAGATAATATCAACATGGTAAGTACTTCAAATTGGTAATTGGCCTATATTTGTAATGTGTTCCCCACCTCCAGAACCAGGCTGTACTTGTATTCCTTTTGCTCTCCTTAATAAAATCCACATGGATAATGGCCTCTGAAACAATAGCAGCCAAAGGCCCTCAGGCTCCCTACCTCTCTCTCTCGCTCTCTCTCTCTCTCTCTCTCTCCCTCTCTCGACCCCCTCAGGTACCCGAATGCAGTCCTTCTCTATTTCACTCTGCATTGATCTCTCCAAAATCACCTTCCCTCCAAACTCTCTCCGTCATTACTGCATTAAAAAATTTGTAGCACTAATGGTTGTTTTTATAACGTAAGCAGTAACACCATTATATTAGCCGCATTCTTGCACATGTCTTTATTACTGTTTGTGTTGTGGTTGTTAGCATTTGTGCATGGAGCCTCAGATACGCTTGGTTCTATTTATCTGAGTATTGTGGAAAGTGGTCTTTTGTGTAATGTGGAAGCTATTATTCAGGCTCTGGAGGCATCTGCCCTTACAGGCCTCAGCACTTTTCTGCATAGTCTGTTGTAACAGGATGTTTAGAAAGCCCTACACTATGAGCGACGTGAACCTTTTCTTAGGGACGCTGGCAATGTGAGCCTGACTCGTTTGGAAGACGCACCTAAGAAAACCTTGAAAACACAATTTACTGCTAACTGTCATGGCACTGCAAGCTGTTTGGAGCTCATTTGTCCAATTAAAATGGTCATTCAGTTGAACGCTCACAGTGTCTCATCTTTCCCAGCAATGTTCTTTCTTGATCTGTTCATGACGTGGGAAAGGCCGCAAATCAAATCTGTTCCTGCAAAGAATTTATAACCAAGGCGGAAAAATGTTTGATTTATGCTGCATGGATCAGCACCCCTTCTGACAAAAGTTATTGTTGCGTGCGATCAAGACTAGCCTGATTTGAGGCTTTTCTCAAATGGCCGTCATTTGTGAAAATCAAACGCTGCTGAGGAGACACGAGTGGGGGTTCGGCTCTCGGTTTCTTCTCCTGTTTGGTCTTCTTGTCTTCTTGGACTGGGCAGGAGGTAGAGGATAGTGTTGATTTATATGAAGAGCTAGGCCAGGCCTGGCAGACATAGCCTTCCAACAACTACATTTATATAAAATTTTACTAATTGTAATTCAGTTTTTGTTTCAATTATGTTTGCGTATCACTGTTTACAGCAAACATCGGCCTTAATTCATAGGAGTTAAACAGCGAGCATGTTTGACTGCCTTTCATGATGCAAGTGTGAACGATTCCGACTCTACGTCAGATTCGTGAAACTTTCATACGATGTGGAAACAATAAGAGATTTGAGCACAAATGATGAATCCACTTCAGTGTGTGAAATCAAGCACCAGCCATCCAGTACCTCGTTTACATGTCATTTACATGAAGAATGTCCTAATTTACACAGATGTTTTGATAGTGTGCCAATGAAGTGGAGTTTGAGGTCGAGCAGTGAGTGCACTGCGCCCTCTACTGACTGAACTTTATAGTGTTACAGTTATGACCACTGCAAAGTTATTTAACCGCAAATCAAGCATTTTTTCAAGCTGTTAAATAATGTAATTATATTTACATGCACTCCTATCAAACATGTGTTTGATGATACAGATACGCCAGAGTCGAAATTAATGATGAATTTGATACACTAGAGATGAAATAACAATACCTTCTTCTTTTTTTTTTATGTATTTAACTCAGTAATTAAACACAACCCCATTTCCAAAAAAGTTGGGACGTGTGCAAAATGTAAATAAAAACAAAATGCAAATCATTTAAACCCTACGTTTCATTGAAAATAGTACAAAAACAACATTTTTTTATTGTTTTTTGAAAAATATATGCTCATTTTGAATTCGATGCCAACAACACATTCCAAAAAAGTTGGTCCGGGGGCAACAAAAGGCTGGTAAAGTTGTGTAATGCTAAAAAAAACACCTAGTGGTTAATTGGCAACAGGTCAGTAACATGATTGGGTATAAAAAAGTCTTTCAGAAGTAAAGATGGGGAGGGTTTCACCACTCTGTGAAAGACTGCATGGGCAATTAGTGCAACAATTCAAGAATAACATTTCTCAGCATAAAATAGCAAAGAACTTTTGCTTTTCATCATCTACGGTACATAATAACATTAATAGATTCAGAGAATCTGGAGAACTCTGTATGCAAGGGACAAGGCCAAAAAACAGTATTTGCTGGCTGTGATCTTCAGGCCCTCAGACGGCACTGCATTAAAAACAGACATGATTCTGAGGTGAAAATCACTGCATGGGCTCAGAAACACTACTACAAACCACTGTCTGTAAAAACAGTTCGTCGCTGCATCCACAGATGCAAGTTAAAACTAAAAGAAGAAACCATATATAAACAGGATCCAGAAATGCCACATTCTCTGGCCTGAGCTCATTAAAAATGGACTGAGGGGAAGTGGAAAAGTGTTCTGTGGTCCGACAAATCAACATTTGAAATTCTTTGTGGAAATGATGGATGCTGTCCTCCGGGCGAAATACAACTCAGCTTGTTATCAGTGCACAGTTCAAAAGCCAGTATTCATGATGGTATAGGGGTGCATTAGTGCACATGGCATGGTTGATGTGCACATCTGTGAAGGCACCATTAATGCTGAATGATATATACATGTTTTGGCAACATATGCTGCCATCCAGACAATGTCTTTTTCAGGGAAGGCCTTGTTTATTTCAGCAAGACAATGCAAAAGCACATTCTGTATGCATTACAACAGCATTGCTCCGCATTAAAAGAGCTAAACTGCTAAAAGTGCTAAACTGACCTGCCTGCAGTCCAGACCTGTAACCACTGAAAACATTTGGCGCATTATGAAATGAAAAATATGACAAGGCAGACCCTGAACTGTTGAGCAGCTGAAATCCTGTATCACACAAGAACGGGAAAACAGTTCACTTTGAAAACTACAGCAAGTGGTCCTCCTCAGTTCCCAAATGCTTACAGAGTTTGTTAAAAGAAGAGGTGATGAAACACAGAGGTAAACATGCCCCCATCACAACTTTTTTGGAATGTGTTGTCGGCATCAAATTCAACATGTGCATATATTTTTCAAAAAACAATAAAATTTCCCAGTTTTAACATTTGATATGTTGTCTTTGTAGTATTTTTATTTTATGTTCTGCACAGCGTCCCAACTTTTTTGGAGAAATTGGTTGTAGAAATTGTGCACTAATTTTGGCAGAAAAAACTGCATCATGTCTGTTTCCTGTAGAGATGGTGCTATTTTCACTGAGAATATCAGCAAGACTTGTAATTATTTGTTTAAACTTTTGGATATGACTGTATCTCCTACCACAAAAAATGAGGTATCAACTGGAAGTTTAGAATCCAAGCTTTTAACAAAATTTCTGTTTTACTCAGTTTAGAGTGAGAAATAATTCATATATAATGACCCCATTTATCAAAGTCTGACCCGCTCGTGTCAGACATTCTGGATGTTTGTCGTGAAAACAGGGTGAATAAAATGTTATGACTTGTTTATGACATGTTAGAAGTTATATTCTGCAAAGATTTTGCGATGCGTGATGCAGCCTATGCGACTGAGGCTGCTCAGTGAAGGCCACTCAGCCGAAAAAGGCCCACGCCACAACTCATCCAGGGTGACCCCTTCAGCACCCAGGACACTTTCTGCCTCACTTAACCGCAAACAGTCAGAGCTCTCTGGGGACAGCTGAGGCCAGAGTCACTAGATACACATGTGTAGATGGCTGCACGCAAATACGCGTTTAAAACGTGCATGCACACATCGCCATACACCTTCAGACCTCACTGAACAAACAGACTCAAAATAAACTCGCTGGCGTGTTTCAAGTGCAAGAGCTTGTGCGCGCTGCTTGCCGGCCAAGAAATGGCCAACAGTAGCGGATTTCATCCTAGACGTATGCGTCTCAGCATGAGCTTTGTCTTGCTGTTTTAAAATCTACATTTTCGACGCATTTTACGCTACATTTAATGCAAGTTATTTGTTTCAGACGTATCAAACGCAAGCCTCTGGATCTCTTTTTTACGGAGTGGAAAACTGCTTTTCTCCAGTAGTTACTGTTGATTATTGTAATCATTGTTGTTGACATGTATATGAATAATGAACAAAACAAAAAGGTATTCACTCCTCCTTAAAATGACTTGAGTGGCTGCCTCAGTTTACCAGTAATCCTCTGTTCCACATTGCCTATATGCCAAAGGTAAAGTGCAACAAAAAATTTGTTTACATGGTTACAATAAAACTGATTTGAAATTATTTGTACATGTCCTGGTGCACTTTCAGTATCCTAATTCCATCCTACTATATTCAGAATTTGCAAGTCCTAAATCAAGTATTTTTTATTTCCTTAACATGGTTTGTATCAAATTGCTGTGTCATTTCACTTCTCACTGATTT